CCCCCCCCCCTCGGGATCCCAACCGGACTTCCCGTTGCCTGGAAAAGCCTGGGAAGAGGAGGAGGAAGAGGAGGAGGAGGAAGAGGAGGAGGGCGCTTATAAATACATTTTAAAATAATCGATTTAAAAGAGAAAAAAAAAAACACAAAAAAAATAATAAAAAATATATATATTCCGATGTGCCAAAATCTTTAAACTTGTAAAAAAGTTTTTAAGTGGTTTTGAGATCTCCACGTCCACCTGTAATGAATTAATCAAGAGCATGTTAATTGTTTAAAAACCATTTTTTTTTTCTGTTTGTTCGTTCGTTCGTTCGTTTGTTGGGGGTTTGTTGTTTTTTTTTTTTTTGAGCTTTCTTTAGTTGGTAGAGAAAATCCGTAGGGAAAAAAGAGACTTTTTGAACGGGACAATCGGCAGCAAGGCCAAGGTTTTATTATTATTTTTTTTTGGGAATTCAAACCATCCAGGTGGGACAGGGGAGGATGCAAAGAGCCCTGTCCCCTTCCCAAATCCGGGTGGGAAGAGGAGGAGGAAGAAAAGGAGGAGGAGGAAGAAGAGCCCCTTTCCAGGAGCATTAACGGGGCCCTCGCTCGGTTGTCCCTCGGTTGTTTTTTTTTATTTATTCCATAATTATGTTTTTAAAGCTAATTTTTTCCGTTGGGTTTTTTTTTCTTTCTCTCTCTCTCTCTATTTTTTTGTCTTCTGGATCCTGGTGGGGTTTTAAAAAAAAACAAAACCAACACAACGAGGAATTTTCTTTTGGTTTGCTGAAAATAATCATAATCAGTTTAACGAGGAGAAAAAACATTGATTTCTTTAGTGCTTTTAAGGCGACTTTATTAAGTTAGAAAAGGGGGTTTTTTTGAGGTTTTTTTTCGAAAATCACTTTTCCTGAGGCATGTTCTTTGACTTTCCTGGAGTTGATTCCGCAGGGATTAGTGAGGATACATAACCCAGAGCCTGGGATTGAACGTGTGTGTCCATGTACATACCATGTAAAGTAGTTAAATACTCCATTGTGCAGTGCCTTTAGACGTTCCACTTTCTATAAAGTCTTCGAGGAAACAAAAAAAAAAGAAAAAAAAGGTTGCATATATATATTATATATATATATGATGTAATGTTATAGAAATATATGTATAATATACATATTTTTTTCCAGGGGTATCTGATAGCTCTGTATTTTGTTATGGAAGTTGAAAGAAAACAAAAAGTATTTTACCTCAAATTAAAAAGTTAAATAAACCTTTTAACAAAGTTGGTGCTGCTGGGCTTCGGTTCTTGGGGAGGGGGAAATTTGGGGGGGGGGGGGGGCTTTCCAAAGTTTTCCCAAGGCTGAGGGTGGAGTGGGAACATCTCCTAGGGATGGAGTGGGAGCATCCCTGGGGGATGGAGTGGGAACATCCCCAGGGCATGGAATGGGAACATCCAGTAGGGATGGACTGGGAATATCCAGTAGGGATGGACTGGGAATATCCAGTAGGGATGGAATGGGAATGTCCAGTAGGGATGGAATGGGAATGTCCAGTAGGGATGGACCAGGAGCATCCAGTAGGGATGGAATGGGATCATCCACAGGATATGGAATGGGAACATCCACAGGATATGGAATGGGAACATCCCCAGGGGCTGGACTGGGAACATCCTCAGGGGATGGACCAGGAGCATCCAGTAGGGATGGAATGGGAACATCCCCAGGGCATGGAATGGGATCATCCCTGGGGGATGGAATGGGAACATCCCCAGGGGATGGACTGGGAACATCCCCAGGGGATGGACTGGGAACATCCAGTAGGGATGGAATGGGAACATCCCCAGGGGATGGACTGGTAACATCCCCAGGGGATGGACTGGGAACATCCCCAGGGACTGGACTGGGAACATCCAGTAGGGATGGAATGGGAACATCCCCAGGGCATGGAATGGGAACATCCAGTAGGGATGGAATGGGAATGTCCCCAGGGGATGGACTGGGAACATCTCCTGGAACTGGACTGGGAACATCCACAGGGACTGGACTGGGACCATCCCAGCTCGGTGCCGGTGCCGCGGGCAGCAGGGAAGGATCCCGGCAGGACACGGATCCAGCTCCCTCCCCGCTCCCTCCCCATCCCGGCAGCTCCCGGCGCTCTCCAGACGTTCAAGCCCGGACACACCGGGCCCGTCCTCCCGCAGTTCCAAGGAGGGAAAGGCACAGAGAGGGGAATTCCCGCCTGGCACCGCTCCCACCGCCATGGGTGGGCACCCCCCGGGATCCAGGGCAGCTCCTGCATCCACAAGAAACATTCCCGGGCTCCACCCGGCTCTGCGCTGCCGGGACGCGCCCGCCCGGCTCCCTCCGGGATCCAACCGGGCTCCGGCCGGGATCCAGCCGGGATCGGAGCGTCGCCGACAGAGCCGGGAGAGGGAAAAGCCGGCTGGAATTCCCGGGAATGGCCGCGGCACCGGGGATGGGAATAACGGCCGGGCAGGGAGTTGTGCTTCCCGACGTTTGTGTATCCCTGGATCCGTGGGTGGGATGGGGGCTCTGGGCACCGGGGGATTTTCCCTCCACCCTCTGGGTGTTCCAGGCTTGGATAACTCGGTTGTGGTGGATCCCTGGGATTCCTGAGGGGATGAGCAGCCCCGGATCTGCTGTGGACACCGGGAGAGGCAGGGAATGTCTCCTTTTCCTATTTTCCCCAATCCAAGGGGTTTCTCCCTGTTCCCTCCTGTTGGTGCCGACAGGGAATGTGTCTCCTTTTCCCCATTTTCCCTGATTTCCCCAAATCCAAGGGGTTTCTCCCTGTTCACTCCTGTTGGTGCAGGCAGGGAATGTGTCTCCTTTTTCCCATTTTCCCAATTTCCCCCAATCCAAGGGGTTTCTCCCTGTTCCCTCCTGTTGGTGCCGACAGGGAATGTGTCTCCTTTTCCCCATTTTCCCTGATTTCCCCAAATCCAGGGGGTTTCTCCCTGTTCCCTCCCGTTGGTGCACCCGTGCCAGCCCCTCCTGCTCCCAGGAGTCCAAAGAGGATTTGGGCAGCGAAGGAAAACCCCAAGGAGCTTTGGGGATTAGGACTGGGCTCAGGGGATGAAGGGGACTCGATCCCAGCCCAAATCCCAGGCACCTGGAAGAGCTCCAAGGCTGGAAGTTGGATCCAGTGCTCCCCTCTCCCTCAGTGCCCAACCCTGGGATGGGAACTGAATCCCAGGATGGGCCAGAATGGAATTATCCAGGCCCGGGATGGGTTGTATCCAGTCCTGGGAGGGACATCCCAATCCCTTTCCAATCCCACACTGCCAGGAGACGGAAAGGTGGGAATTAGGAAGGGGGAAACCATCAGGGGATGCTCCGAGCCCGGAGTTGGGATCAGATCCTGCATCCCAGGGCATCTCCCAGCCCCGGGAATGAGGGGCTGTGGTGTCACTTTGGGATGCTCCTTCTCCATCCCTCTGTGGCAGCTCCGGGATGAGCCCCGGGATCTGATCCCCCCCAATTCCCA